CGCACACCTACACATAGACATGTAGCTTAGAACGTACAGAAGCTCTGGAAAACTTTGTAATTTTGAGTTGGTTTGGCGATAATTTCCAGGTCTTCTCCCTGTAACAGATTGCAGAAATAAAAATTCTCTTCCTCCCCAGTTCATCTGCATCTCGTTATTGGGCCATGAGAAATAGCAGCCCGAACCTCAGTTTGGTCCAGGAACAATAATATCAACAAAAGTAAAATGTGGACAGCTAATTAGTGGCAGAACAGGTCTTCCAACTCCAGGTCCTGGGTCGCTACTGCCACACAGCACTGGAAGTCATGAACGGCTTCATGACTTCAACTCGTAACCAGATAGGAGGCGGCTCTGGAGGAAAACGCCCAGCTGAGACAAGGCTGATGTCAGACATTGTGCCCAGTCTGTTATTTCTCTTACTTGACTTAAGCATGTGACTGTGTGTTTATATGTATATGCAAAATATATTTTTAGAAGTATATATGAAATCCATACAAATCATAATAAATACCCAAGCACTTACCAGAAAGCTTAAGAAGCAGAATTATCACCAGTAACAGGTACTCTTGTAAGCCCTCCCTAGTGGAATTCTCCTTCCTCTTCCCAAAAGTAAGTGTGAATTTTATGTTAATTTTGTTATTTCCATCTATTGTTCTCTAAGGTTTCCGGTTGTTCATTTGTTTGCCCATGGTGGCCAGCGTGTTTGCAGTTGGGAGGATTCTTCACCAGTCTAACACATGCCTCAGTTTTCAGGGTGAGAAACCCAGAAAAGTATAATACCTGCCTCTCCCCTCCCTTTATCACTCCAGGTCACACGGACTGTGGGTGCCATGGCCGTATCTAAAAGCAAATGCCATTAGTCAGGGACTGTTAAGATCAAAGGGACTTTGCCATCCAGGTCAGAGAGGGCACACAGAGGGCCTGCTGTTGTCATCCATGTGTGCAGACGCTGTCCATCCTGGATGGCCTCCTTTTGTGCCAACTAAGCCGAAAACTTTTTTCTGTTATTAAATTCTAATCACTTCTCCTGGTCTGACTCAAGGCTTTCTCCTCCAGACATGTGTACTGAACTATTCGGCTCCCACTTATTTCTCCATGTATTGCCCTGAACTCACGTTTCTGGATCTGGTTGGCATGGTTTCCAGGAGGTAGCATGTAAACCACTTGAGGCAGGGGTCTCAGCCTGCTCTTTAACCCTTAGCCCAGCCTTGGGCAGAGGTGCCCAACTGGGCACTCCCCATCGGTTGACTAATCACTCGAGGAGTCTCTAGTGATTGGAAAGCCAAGGATCCATTGCCCCAGGACCAAGCAGTGGTGCCACATAGAGAGAAGCCTCCGATGCACTCCCAAAAGCTACAGCTCTTGTCCTAAAATAATTTACTGCGCTCTGCTGGGCTCTCCACTTCCCACGTGTTCCTGATTTTCCCTTTCGCTACTGTCCCACTGGCCAAAACATCAGTGTGGGAGGCCAAGCCCAAGACACCAGTGTGAGAGGCACCACCAAAGGGTGTGGGGAGAGGGAGAAAACTGTGGCCTTTCCTATCATCAGTCAACCACGGTAAGGGAACTGATATTTATTAAGCACCTGCTGTGTGCCAAATGCTTTACTTCTCATCTTATTTAAGATTCACAACAATTCTCTTCAGTGCTGGCATCCCTGTCCCCGGATGAAGAAGCATCACTCAGAGATGTGGGCCACTTGCCCGTGTGGTTAGCAAGTGCTGGAGCGGGGATTGGTACCTGCTGAGTTGGGGCGTGGGACGGAGCCTGCCCCTCTGAGAGTGACTCTGAGTGTGACATAAGTGAGTCACAGTGAGAACCGCAGGAGATCAAACAGAAGCCTGTGAATGAAGCTACCAGGTGGATCCTGCTCCTTACTTAAGAGGACATGGCCTTTCTCCAGGCCGACATGTGTCACCAGCGATGACATCCTCTGGTACACCAGGTTCTCTACTCCTCACCACCGGGGATGAAGATAAAAAGGAGGGAGAAGGGGAAGCAATGTGATGCTTGGGACCAGAGTCCCAGATGCTGATGGCCTCAGCGATGGGGGTGTGTGAAAAAGACCTTTTCCTTTTTCCCTTTCCAATGTCAGCCTTTGCCCTCTGAGGGCTCACAGGCCACCCAAACCCTTTCCACACTTTCAGACACAGTTGTGGTTTTTTATGTTTTTTTTTTTTTTTTTTTTTTTTTTTTTTTTTAACAATTTTGCAAGTGCTTAGGTAGAGACACAGTTTTAGATGGGCCACATGAAAGGCCCCATTCAGACAGCTCTCATCTGATACAAAGCCTCAGAATGCCCATTGACGTGGCCCAAACGGTGGTGCTCACTTGGGCAGGTGCATCTGAGTATTCACATGGTCCCCTGATGGAGGCGTCATCTGAGCTGAATTCTGGCTCAGAACAAAGGAAGTGCAAGTCAGGCCCCCTGTCAGAACTTCCGTCTACCTTTCTGCATAAAAGGATCATGCCTCCTGGGTTGTTGGTGGCTGCGTGGAGCCAAGTCAATCGCTAAGGCAAAAAAAATGCAGTTTGCAAGTTCAGTGGACAGGAACTCAGAGGAAAGCAGGTGGGAGAGAAGAGCAGGAGCTGCTCACAGCAGCTGAAACAGCAGGATGGGATCTGCGCAGCCCAGGCCTCCAGTGCCAGGCAGCCCTGGTGTCTCAGTGGCCGGCCGACCTCCTGAGGCCTGGCTACAGCCAGGAGCCCACATACCCTGCTGGAAAATGCGCAGAGGCCTGTGCACAGCCTTGGTGACCCCTCATCTTACACGCAGCCTGAAATAGAAGCTCAGCAGGAAAGACCTGCTCAGCCGCACACACCGTCTGACCCGGAGCCAGCCTGACGAAGCCGGAACTTCCCACTTCACCTGAACCCACCCGCCACCCACCTGGCCACAGACTCACTGCCCTCTTCATCCCCAAATGAAAAGGGGTAGTTGTCTCGCTTGGTGCCCAGGGTGCCAGCTTGTTTACTCTTCTTCATAGGGCATATTTCTGGGCCTGTCCTCTTTTTCTCCCAAAGTGCCTAAGACAATGCTCCCTTTATAGGTCAGGGAAGGAGTATAGATCCTGCTCTCATTCTGTGCTCTTCCCCCAGGGCAAACAGCTTCACCCTCAGCTTTATGAATTCCTTCCTATTCTTACTTTTCTCAGAAGCTGTTTCTCATTGACCTGATGTCTCCTGACCTGTTGACGAAAGCACCATTCCACATGTCCTGTGTGTGTGTAGCTCACTGTGAACTCGCTGTTAAGCTGAGGCCTTGCCCCGAATGTCATCAGCTTGCTGGTTACTTACTGAGACAGGAGATGAAAGAGGAGAGGAGAGAGAGGTGGAGAGATGGAAATGACCAGGATGGGGAGGATGAGGAGCAGAGCTGAAAAGTAGGAAGGAAGGAAGGTGTGACTACTAGCTGGGTCCTACCCTGGGGCCTGTATATATTACCTCATGTAACCCTTACAACACACAGATGACATTCACATCAGCACTCATATTTTTCATGAGAAGACTGAGTTTTCAGAAAGGTTAGTTTGTCTGAGATCACTCAGCTATGAGGTGGCAGGGACTAGATTCAAACTCAGATTTCTGGCTTTGATTTCAGGACTTTTTCCTTTCTAATCTTCTGCTCCCGCTAAGAGGGGACTAGAGAACAGAGGAAATGAAGGGAAATAGAAGGGAAGTGGAGACTGCCAATTGTTCTCTGGTTGCAAGCAACAGAAACTGATTCTAGCTATCTTAGATGGGAAAGGGTTTGGCTGGAGGGAGGCCGAGGGGCTTTCAGAATCCAGTGGACTGTAGGAGAGCAGGGGCAAGAACCAGAGTGTTCTGGGGTCTGGGCAAGAGACAGCTTACTTGGGATTCTGCCCCTGAAATAAATATACTCCAACCATTTCCCCCTCTCTCTATGCAGGAGAGAATCCCAGGAAAGAGTCTGATTTGTTGTATTGGGGTCACTTGCCTACCCTTAAGTCAAGGGAGCTAAGAACACCAAGATGTCACATGATGGAGGAGAGAGCTCCAACTCCCAGTGATGTTATCAAACGAAGGGGACACGGACACAGAGCCACCAAACAGATGACAACCACGCCGGAATTTTTAGGTGCTGCCTGCAGGTATCAGGGGCTGATTCTATCTGCCCCAAACTGCATTAGGGCTAAGCCCAGCAGGTTGAGTCTTTCTCACGACGTTGGAATGGCCACCATTGTCACCACCAATCCCATCTGGCAGAGATGGGCTGGGCCCCCACCTCTTCCAAGCCTGGCTTCTGGGAGGAAGTGTTTCTCCTTCTCTCAGGAATTAGTCCTCGTTCAAAAACTCCATGCAGTAAGGTTGCAGAACAATGAGCAGCTTACAATCAACACTTTGGACACACTGTTTTATAAAGATTCCTCCTAGTGCAGTGGTCTTCGGAGTGAAACTTCTTGAGTTGGAATTCTAACACTGTTACCAGCTGTGAGAGAGAAAACGCCCACCTACTCTCTGAGCCTCAGTCTGTTCTGCTGCACGGTAGGGAGATAACGTGTACTCCGCCCCCATCTGTATGTTGTTCTATCAAATGAAATAAAAACTGTCATCAGCTTGTAAACGGTGAGATCCATACGGATACGAAGAGGCATTGGCGTCCTTTTCGCCGTTACCAAGTGAGATCGGGCTGCTCTGGGAGTGTGACTGGAGGCTGAAGGCAGCTGCACACTGCAGTAACAAGAGCCGGGGTTGGAGGAGTTGAAGGTGAAAGTCCGGAGAATGGGGTCCTCTGTGCTTCCAGCTTGCTCTCTACTTCAAGCACCGTGAATAGATGAAGCTCCACCACGTCCCAAATGGCCTGAGGGCAGAGTTATACATTCAACTGGTAATTTTAAAAGCCCTGAGTAGCTTCATCTAAGCTCTGTTTTCTTTACTGAGAACCCAACTGCTAAGCCTTTCCTGGCAATTAGGCTTCTTGAGGCTGAGCCTTCACAAAGCTGGGTTGCTTCCAAGTTTCCCTTCTTTTCCTCCCACAGGTTGGCACTGCACAGAGATGGAACCTGATGAAACGGCCCCATTTGAGTGCCTGCTGTATCGTGTTGGCTCTGCTTCCTGCAGCTGTGCTCCGAGATGAGCCTTTCAGTCATCGCTCCCTAATAGCCCCATCTCCCCGAATTTGGGAGGACGCACATTCCTCTCCTTGCTCACATGCCCCACTTCAAGCCATCTGCACACTCTACAGGGAACTTGCCTCCTGACGTCCTGATGTGCAACGCCATCCAAATCCTCTGCTGGAATCTCACTATTCACACCACTGATGCCCCTGGAGCATGAAACAGAAAGGCCAGTCTTCTTGTCTTTTTATTCTAAATGTTTAATACAGATTCCATGGACTTGGTCCATAATAATATGAGCATAGTCTTACATCAATCCTTTTACTAATTTCTCATCATCTCCCTCATCCTTGTCCTTTAGTGATTGTTCCAGACCTTCTCTTCTTATCCTCGTACTCTCCTCTTTGGTATAGTGGTGAGTAAAAGAAAGAAAAAAAAGGTCCTAATGTGGCTCATATCATCATGGTTTATTTATTACCTGGAGGATTTTTGAGGCTATGAACATTGTTTTATTTTCTGCTGTATCCCCAGCACCTAGCACAGATGTGTGTGTACCAGGGCCTGCACGTATAAGCTCTATGATGCTGCTATAACATGTAGTTCTCCCTTCAAAACTAAGCATTATTAAAGTAGCATTTTGAACAGGGTTTAAATTACCTGGCCCTTGACTTTGGGAATTGGAATTTTGTCTACTGCAGTCGCTTGGGGGACCTTCCAGTAGAGATTTATAATTAAAATGATATCATCCAGTAAGGCTTTTACCACAGGGCTTCTAAAAACAATAAAAAGATTGTCTGTGGCAGAATCTGCACTGTGGAATGAGAATTATATATGGTTTACTGTAAAGTAAACTCAGGCATAATTGTATGTTGTGAACTACAAATGCACAGTGGGATTCTGAGATTAATTTCCAATCACTCATCACCACGGATTGGTGAAAATCCCAGCCAAGTGTGGTGAAGGAAGTGTCTCTGTTTCTGCCCGGTTAGGAGGTATTGTCTGTGCGTTCGTTGCTGGTCTCATATCCCACCTTCCAGCTGCTGCTGCTCCACATCAGTTACTGCAGAGATGTTCAGTTTTTCATGCCAGGATTTCTCTGTCAGGATTTGTGTTAGTAATTGCAGAGACTTCATCAGGCTCTGTTTGCAATCATACATAACTCGGATTTTAAATTAAAAAGGTAAAAATGGAATAATTTGGAAAAACGTTCACAGAATATCAGAGTTATGAGGAGATATTTAACACGATCAAGTCCAGGAACAGCAAATAGTTTTCTATCCCACCTGCCAGCCCTATCAACACCGTGTCTAGGCCTTGCCTGTGAGAATGCAGTGATCATCTGGTGACGTTGGCCACAAGCAAGGGAGGAGAGGCAGCGTGGCCTGAACCACATACCTGCCCTCCTTGCAGAAAGGCAGGGATGTCCCATGGATGAAGGGAGGGCAGCCTTTGGGTTGAAAGTTTTTTAGGAAAATGGAAACTTAGTGGCAGAAATAGTGTTGAATTACTATTTGAAATAGTCAGAAATTACTAGTCAGAATTACTGTTGAAATAGTCAGAAATTACTATCAACTGACATTCAAAATCACTTTCAAACCAACAAGGCTAGTAGCAAACTGAAAAACAGGAGTGAGAATGCCTGGCCCAGACATGAATGGTGTGGGGCAAAACAGGGGTAGATCCAAATGGCAGTGAAACAATCAACTGCGACTCAAGCTGATTTCCAGCCTGCCAGTGTCAGCAGGTACAACGGTGGGGGGCTGGGGAGAAACCATCCGGCCTCCTCCTGCCTTGGACCAGGTGCGGCGAACTTTATGGACCAGACATGTTACAAGAATCTGGCTCTAAACAGATTTCCGCAAGCCCTCTCTCAACCCCAGCAGGAGGGAAGTTGCCACTCCCTGACAGCAAATCAAACTGGATCTTGGGACACAAAATGTTGGAGACGTTTAAAAAATTATAATTGAAAACACTGAAAGTTAGGCCAGCCACGGTGGCTCAGGCCTATAATCCCAGCACTTTGGGAGGCCGAAGGCGGATCACTTGAGGTCAGGAGTTTGAGACCAGCCTCACCAACATGGTGAAACGCTGTCTTTACTAAAAATACTAAATTTAGCCAGGCGTGGTGGCACACGCCTGTAGTCACAGCTACTTGGGAGCCTGAGGCAGGAGAATCACTTGAACCTGGGAGGTGGAGGTTGCAGCGAGCCACGATTGCACCACTGCACTCCAGCCTGGGCGACAGAGAGAGACTCCATCTCAAAAAATAAAATAAAATAAAAAATAAAAAAATTGAAATTCAAAGAAAAGGAGAGAACACTGTTTAACCATAAATAAATACATATGTGACCACAAAGAGTTACAATGTAAATTATTGTGCATTAATCAAAATAAACCAGTGGGGTAAAAAATGATAATGCAACTTGTAAGTTGCCTGACTCTCTAAGTTTTGCTGCTAGATGTAAAATATAACATTTCTAATTTAAAAATTCCAAGCTTAAAACTAAAATGTTCAATTATAAGGACTTTAAGTAAATAACATAATTATTATGAATGGAAAGGTTTAGAACAACATGGGGAAATGCTTGCTAGGATGTTAAGTGAAATCACAGTACTATAAACACAGGATGATCAAACTAAAGGAAAAAAGTGTTTCACTGGAAAAAGCATCTTTACCCTTTCTGGAGTAAGAAAGGGTTAATATTGTGTATTATATGCAGCTATATCATTATGTCTCTCTCGTTTGGTGTTTTTGTTTATCAGGCGCTCAGAAATATGAACAAAATTTGCACTCAGGAGCCGTAACCATGGATAATTTTTGTCTTTTGGCAGTTTTTATTACATCATTCCTTCCTGTTTATAGTAGCAATATTAGAAAAGAGATAAACAGAAGTAAAGTAAAATAACATTAATAATTCTCCCCTGGATAGATAACATTTGGCGCTTTCTTTCCAGACAATTCAATAAGCAGATAGACACATAAGTGCATTTATTTTATAAAACTGGGATCAGACTCTGCATCTGGTGAATATTTATAACCATTCGACCTGCCCTGGCTGGTGCCATCCTGGTCCCTGGGGACTTGTGCTCGCCTCTGGGTGGAAGTTGACAGGCAGGCAAATCACAGAGCTGCAGCCCAACCGAGTCTATATGTTGCCTCTATAAGATGTTAAAGGTAGAGCAAGGGAAGGTATAACCTGCTCAGTTTCTGCAGAGGCAGGCCCCTTCCCTTGTAATCTGATGAGCTCTTTGCTTTTATCTTTTGCTGTATTTTGCTTAAAGATACAGCAAAGGTCAGGACAGCCATTGGAGCTCTTGCCCTTGCCAGATGGTGTGTGGACAGCAAAATGTCAAGTGGCTCTGCTGGAAGCACTTGACCAGGAACAGGCAATCATCCTCCCAGCACCCTCAGGGACAAGGGGTGCCAGCCGGGCTCCCCTGCCCTCCTGTTGCATGACACGGTCTCTGATACTGGGTCACCCGCTCCATGCCCAAGCTGTGTCCCCTCCCAGGGGCACACTCTCTGATGCAACTATGGCAGGCATGGGGGAGACATGGCAAAGAGAAACCAGAGGATCTGCACTTTTCCCTGAGGCTTTTGCTCCCAACCAGCTGCAGAGAGAGTGTGAGAAGGAGAGTACCCAGGCCAGGCACAGGGAGCCACTGAGAGGCTCTGTATTTGTTTCCTGGGCTTTTATGACAAAGAACCACAAACTGGGTGGTTTAAATTTATTCTCCCACAGTTCTGGAGGCCAGAGGACCACAATCAAGGTTTTAGGGGAGCCACACTTCCTCTGAAACCTCTTGGGGGGTGTCAAGGGGATCTTTTCTTGCCTTTTCCATGGTCGCTCCAGACACCCTTGGCTTGTGGCAGCATCCCGCCCATATCCACCTCCACTTCACACGGCTGTCTTCTCCCTGTGTCTGTGTCTTCATAAGGCACTGTGTATGTGTGTGTGTGCACGCGTCCCAATTTCCCTCATTTTATAAGGACATGATCATATAGGATTAGGGCTCACCCTTAGGACTTCATCTTGACTCCATGTGCAAAGACCCTGTTTCCCAACAAGGTCACGTCGATTGGTACTGAGAGTTAAAACTTCAACATGTCTTTTTGGGGGACACAATTAGACCCTAACAAGCCCTATGAGGGGCCAAGAGGACCAATGCTGTTTCACTATGTCAGATGTATGTGGAGGGAGTGACTACGTAAGACAGACAAACTATTTTAAAATCCTACCTCTGCCCCCCTAACATACCTCTGCAGCCCTCAGAGAACCTTCCTTGGAGGATCCATGGCACCTGTAGCCTTGGAAAAGTCACTTGACTTCTTGGGACCTCTGTTTTCTCATTTATTAATTGAGCTAATGCAGTGACTCAAAGAGGGACCCGAGCATCATTCTGATGACTATGAAGTGACCCAAGCTTGCAAACCTTTCCTGTGGTTCCTCCAGGTGGGTCACAGAGGTGGCCCCCACACTTTACTTCTTATGTACAAGTAAAGGCTTTAACCCACAAAAATTTGGTATTCATAAGCTAAAATTAGTGTTCTTGGAGTTTACTGAGGACTCCAATTTGTTATTCTACACTATACTTTACATAGTTGGAATTTCCCCAAGTTTTGGAAGAATGCTATTTCATTAGCTCTTCAGTTGTTTTGAGCTGTCATGGTTTTCAACCGCTGTTACTCATACTTTATATTTATAAATTACTATTGGTTTTGTGCCCTTATTATCCATCGAGTCTGGTGAGAGTTTTGGGTTGTCCTAGAATGGGTAGTAATAAGTATTTACTTTGATAATTTTTGGCTTATAAAATTGTCCAATTTCTAGACATTATGTGTAAATGAATTGCGGTTGAATAATTCATCACTCATGTACCCCTACTGCTAAGGGAGGTATATACATGATCCCTTTATATTTTTCTTATATGGTGGTTTGCCCAGAGCTGAAAGGTTTGCCAGAAGGTAGAATTTTCAGTGCTAAAACTGGGAGAATCCTGAGCAAACTCGCACGGTTGGTCACCCTATTACAGAAGGACACTTCATTGGTGGCTTCCTTGCCTGTGAATTTGTGCTATTTTCGTCACTTTCGTCTTGCAATCAAGGTTAGCATAATAAAATTAGTAGGGTTATTTTGAGATCACGGGGCACTCATTTATAATATAAAATCAAGTGTACAATGGCAGATTTTTCTTTAACATAAACAGGAAGTGAACCTTGTATATTGCCTGCTCAGCAGGTTTACTGCAACATGTCTGTTTGTTTCCTCTGCAATCCTCTTCTCCTTCCCATAGGCCCCACCCCTGTAATTACCAAACTCAGGAGAGAGGGGGAGCTGGTGAGACATTGGTGTCCTTTGGCCCCACTCAAGTGAGTATAGTCAAAGAAGTTTAGGAACCCCTGGGTTAAGGACTCCTAGACTGCCCTACCCCTTACAGCTTGGGGCTGCAGATCCACCCTGACCTTGCTCAAGATTCTAAGCAAATGCAGAGTCAGAAGCAGCTCAGAAACTTCCCTGGAGGTCCTTCCTGAGAATTCCCTAACAGGCAGGCAGTTCCTCCTGCCCTAGGAAGATTTTGAGTATAGCCTCCTTTGCATAGTGTCCAC